GTATATTAGACGGGGACCTCATCTCGCTGTTCACCAGCATGCCCAGCGCAGACAGGCACGACGTGAGTCATCACCATCATCATCATCATCTGTTTTTTTTAATAATTAACCTCAAAATTAAATCAATGTTACACTCAAACAATACATACATAGTTTTGTAACAATTGTTTTAACGTTTTTTCCTAATTTTAATTATTAAAATAAATAAAAATACAATTGCTAAAAGGCAAAAATCTTAAGGATCCGAGGTTCGCCAATTTAAAACCAATATATATGTTGAGGGTCTAAATATATTTTTATATATTTGTTTCAGATCGCAAAGAAAATCGGTACGAAAGTGGACGAGATAATGTCGGACTTGTACGAGATAGACAGACTGACCGCCCATTTCTAGATTATATAAGTCGTCATTTGTATATATATTATTTTAATAAATACTTAAGGAACTATCTGAGCGTTTTATTTTATAATTGGATATCCTATATACCCGATAAATTATATTAAAATGAGGAACGAAGGTAAGGAGAGGGATTCTTGTAAAGTATTTAGAATTTGACTTTTGAAAATACTTGATTTCACGCCATCTAGTGGTAAATAAAATTATTTAACTGTGGTAAAATGTTTAATTGCACGCCATCTATTGTTACATGAAAGAAATAAAAGAACATTGTTCGGTTCAAACAGACATCATCGTGTACTTTTCGCTAGATGGCGTGCAATTACAATTAAGGACACATTTTTGTGAGAATAAAAGTAAACAATCCACATATCTGTTAATAGATGTCGTGCATATCAAATCACACCTAACGCTAAAAAAAGAAGCTATTTGAAACTACGACGTACGTGTAACAAATGATTCTCGTTTATAATTGCACGGTTTGCTTTTTATTTTAAAGCTACAATTTCGCTCTGAAATATTTTTTATATAATATGAGTAATATTTTAATAGTTTGAATTTTCGTTTGCAATAAAAATATTACCCAATCGATCTGAATTCAATTCTCGCGGGAATGTTCGAACACTCTATGAAATATTGTACAAAACCAGTAAAGCCTTTTGTATTACAAAGGGTAATATAATGATAATCGTATATTAAGTAATCGATTATTGCAAAAAAACTATCAAAATTAGGACATGTAATTTATTCTGCACTCAAATTATACTTTGTTTTTATTTTGCACATAATAATGTAGACATCTAATAAGGTAGACACGATTCTCTCTCGGAAGTAAGTTGATGATTATGACTAAACTATCGCACAACTATTTAGTCTCGCTTTGATTCTTATGAGGTTATACGGAGGTGCATACTACTCGTTTTTAGTTAAATCTGCGAACCAATGGATAATCGCACAACAATCTAGTCAAAGGTCTTTTTTAAAAGCGGCTACATGCCGCTCTCTTGTTCCCCTAACACATTTTAAGTCAAGGACCTGGGGAGCGGGTGTATCTTTATTTCTTTCTGTTTATATCACTTTATCTAAGCCTAATTTAAAAACAATACTATATTCCAATCAAATTTAAAATACAACAGACTAGAAAATTTTGACTTAGATTTCAAAAATGCAATTAAAATTATTCAGTCAAAGTCTAGTTATTTAGTCTAGTCAAAGGTTTACGTCCGCTTAAAAACTATATCTCAATATCCGCAAACATTTGCAGAGTTGATTGCAAAATAATAGACTTACTTTTACCGGAAAATGCCTAGGTTTTAATGATAGCATTGTCCATACATTGTTCCGATTTACGAGGAGTTGTTATAGAAAATTGTTGATTTCCGTATTGCTATTGTTTCGCAGATTACGGGACTTATATCATCAAATAACGTAATGTTACATTTTTAATTTAACGTTACTTGTTCCGACATTCTCTTATCTATAGCTATTTATTTACTAACAGCCGCCCATGTCAGCTTTGTTAAAATTACTTTTAGTTACTGCCCTATTATAAAGAGGAAAGATTTGCATTTTTGTATGTATTGAAATAACTCAAAAACTACTGGGCAGATAATAAAAATTCTTTCACCGTTAGAAAGGTAATTTATCTGTGAGTAACATAGGCTATGTTTTTTTAATTATACGCGGGCAAAATCGCGAGCTATAGCTATTCAGATATATTTCAGTAAAAGTACCTTAAAAGTGCAGCCGTTTCGGAACGCGGATTTACAAATGGCCAAAAAATGTTTTAAATTGATTTCATTACATTATCGAAAATACTTACGCTCACAAAATAGAATGTTTTTAATATAAACAGACACTTCGGTTTTATTCTAGCTGTTGCCCGCGACTTCGTTCGCGTGAAATTACATAATAATAAAAAACATAGCCTGATATTACTCACTGATAACGTAGATATTTATTGGTGAAAGAATTGGTGGTATTAGCCCAGTAGTTTTTGAGTTATTTCAATTCATAAAAAAAAACAAAAATACAAATCTTTCAAGATTTAAGCGCCGAAGTAAATAGGCCTAAATTCCGATTAAACGCTCTAAATATGAAAGCGGATCTAACTAATTATCGAAATGGCGTCGCAAATGTAAAAAGTTAAATTGCTTACGTAGGAATTAGATAATGGCGGACGCTACATTATGACACAGAAATAATTGAAGATCGTATCAATATAGTAAAGCTGGTGATACACTGGAGTAAACTTTTTTTTTTACCAAACTGGTGTTGACCGCGACATCGTCCACGCGACATTAAGATAAAAAAGTAATCTATAATACGTCCGTCTATGTCAGCTACCCTTGTGTAAAAGTCCGTACTGCGCGGACAAAGTCGCGGGCAATAACTATTTCTTCGATAACAAATATTAGTTTAAACTTTATTTTAAGAACATTTACATTAATTTAAGAGTCGCTATAGTCGCCCCTTTGTACTTTTTTGTATGAAAAAATTGCCAGAAATACACAACGCGAGCGGTCATTAGCTTAGTGAAAAAGGGGTTTAACAGGAACTAATCGGAAGATATCGGATATGTTTTTTTGTTCGCAATACACTACTCTTCCACTACATAACAGCAAAAAGACAACAAAACAAAACACGTAATGCATGCTTCTAATGATACCGAGCGAATGTGTTGCATTAAGTATGATATAACAACCAACAAGAAAGGCCTATCAACACTTTAATATACAACCAAATTAAAGTTCATAATATAGTGGACGCAAACGATCAGATTTAAATCAAAACCAAATTACAAGACCTATGTACACCTAGCTACTAAAGGAATTAAGAGGTTTTGATAACTGGTTGTTCTAAGATTGTAAGGTAAAAAAAAGAGCGCGAAATATTTGTATAGGAACTGTCACTTTTGTATAAAATGGCGGAGTTCGCTGTTGTGACATCACAAGTATCTCGAAATCCATTCGTCCAACATTGAACATGCACAGAACAAGGATATGTGTGAGTCTTGTGAATTTACGTGCTTTTTAATTAGTGGAATGTGAAAAGTGAGGTTATGCTAGTGACGTTTGACAGATCGAAAGGGAGTCAACCATTTTATATTTATTTCATTTACATATTTAAATTGAATACTTTTTTTGTATTCACTACTTGTTGCTCGCGACTTCGTCCCCGTGAAATTAAAAAAAATAAAACATTTGTTACTCGCAGATAAATTACCTTTCTAATGGTGAAACATTTTTGAAAATCGGCCCAGTAGTTTTTGCGTGAATCAAATACATACAAAAATCAAAAAATCTAACAATACAAATGTTTCTTCTTTATAATATCAGTATAGAGTACTTTTGTTTATTTTTAATTCAATATTTGCGATTAATTTTCGAATCAAAATAAATAATTTAATTTAATAAAACTATTCTATTAAAAAAATAATAATTCTATTTTCTTTTGTAAAAGGTGATAAACGAGTAACTAGCTATTCAAATTCGTAAAAATGACCGTTATCGATAAATGTTAAATCGATAATAATCGTTACATCACTAGCAAATGTAATAAAAAAGTGATGTACACTAGTTTACCTTTACCTTTCACTAAAAAGGTAAAAAAGATTCAATACGAAGGCGGTTGCGGTTTGCTTTCAATATATTCCGGAACGATTGGACGCTTTCTAACAATTTTTAACTCTCCTTTTTTTACCAAACTCTAGTATTCATTTTCACTACAAATGTTTTTTTTTTAATTTTTAATCATTCAAACTTAATAATTGGTATTTAATTTCAAAAATAAATTAATTTTACTCAAAATAATAAGAATAAATTAAATGGGAGATGTTTAAATTTAAAAATATAACAAACGTTATAAAAAATATTTACCAAGTCTTTTTAACAAGTTCTAAAATTATAAAAATTTAAAACTAGCGTTTTTTAAGTATATTTCCCTTTGTAATACTATCTATGATTTTGGCCTCAAAATGACACGAAAGCTTAAAACACAAAGTCCTTTTATCAAAAGCTTTTAGACAAAGCACCATAAATTCTATGTCTTCCAAGCTTAGAACACGAAAAGGCGAAAAAATATCCTCCAGTAACCGCGAAAGATATAGCTAAGATATACGAGCGCAAAATTGGCCGAGTAAAGCGGCGGAGCGCTTAATAACGCAATAAATAAGGGTGAGTTTACACGGCGCGATGTATCAACAATATACAACGTTAGCCGACTGTAAAAAGCTTAAGAGATAGGAATGAGAACATACGGTGCGAAAATCTAACAAACAAACCGTGTGCGCCCTCCCGCGATTCGGCCCGGATGACCTGAGGGTCGGTGTGGCCATGGGTGGTGGTGGGCTAACGTAAAGAGATCTCATTCACAACACACGAACGTGTAACGTATACTAACCACACTGTATATATGAAAAAATAGTTACTAATGGTCACTGTCACTCTGAGTACTTACTTATGTCATTTTGCAGTCCAGAAGTGACTTGCTAAATTACCCTAATTCGTTACATCCCCACATAAGCTCATGAAATAGGCTTTGCAAAGAATGTTTTTCCATCTTTACTTGTATTAAAAATATCTTCATCCCTTACGTTCTTTTGGAGAACGCAGAGACAAAATAATTTAAATTGCTGTTGCTCTCGACTTCGTCTACGTGAAATAAAAAATAGTTAAAAAATGTAGCCTATGTTACTCAGCGACAACATCATCATCCACTTGCCCTTATCCCTTACGGAGGGTCGGCACAGTATGTGCTGCTCTTCCATACATCTCTATCAGCCGTCATATCTGAATCTACTTCTTTCTTAAGCATATCTTCTTTCACACAATCCATACATACTTTCTTCGGTCTTCCTCTTTGTAGCCATCCACATTCACTCTTAACATACCATACCATACCACGCTAACCTTTTGCTTCTTACTTTCTCCACCACTGGCGCTACTTTCAACTTCCTCTAATATACGCTACATGCAATCACCTTTCATCCGCAACTTAAAAATACACGAAAAACAAAACAAAATGCACTAAA